GGTGTAGCGCTGCACCGCGGTGCACCGGCCTACCGACTTACTTTTGATGCCGTTGATAACTTGTATAAGTGTCTGTTGTTTGACAATGGGATTGAGAAAAAAATGTTGTTGTGAATAGCAAAATTACAGGCAAACAGCTACACTGTTGCATGGCGTCGGATTAAGGTTTCGCTTAGAACAGAATACGCAGGGCACGGTGAAATCGGGAGCGATGTTGAAGACCCAATTTTCCCGCGATATCTCAATGGTTGGGAGAGTGACACACACGTAGGTATGGCGTTAAAAACAGGCTATAAGATGCACTAAATGATTAACGAAAATACCGAATGTCTGGTTGTGGATTCATCATTCAATCTTGCTTGTGCATAAAAGTGTCGGATTAAGGTTCACTGCCGTTAATGTAACTAAGGCAGAAATAGAAACTAAGGCAAACTTCTACAATACTGCATGGATACTTGATTTCCCATCCTAAGAGTAATGTAACAATAGAACATTCCAGAGACTTTCAACTTTGAAAAAAATATCCCTGACAGCGAGTGTGTAAAAATGCCTCTTGTGCAATACAAACAAGAATTTGGAGGTGCCTTAACATAATATATGCGTAGTGATGTTAACGGTTAACCTTTGAGTAACTTATGTCACATGGTAAAAAAATTCCCATAATTCACCTGTAAGGAATCACAAAAGTTTCACATTGAATTAGGTCATGCACATACACACAGACATGCCAAAACAATACCTCCATTTTTCATGGAGGTAAAAAGTTTGAAAACGTGACTGTCAATCAAAGTGTTCCTACTTTATAGGAAACCTTTCCTGCGCAGTGTCTGATGGAGAACTCCTGGGCTGGGACCCTGGGCCGATCGTAATGTTCATGGTTCTGGTGGAAGTGGTGACATTTCTCCAAGAAGGATCTGTCAGTAGCCTGGATAAAATTCAGAGCAAAAAAAGGTTTCAAAGAGCATATAGAACTAATCTAGTTTCTACATGTTAAAAGCATGAAGACAAGTAACAGTATCTATTCTCATCAAAAAGGATTTTTTCATTTACAGTCATATCTTCATCGTATTCTGTACAATGTCATGTAACATTTAATCATGCAACAAAGAAACATCACCCTTTAAAGAATAGCAATGTGCCAGCCAATTTGAATTTCTATATGTTGATCTCTTGTCTCTTGTGAGATTTGACACTTCAGTTCAAGGATTGTTCACTGTGAACACCTGAACTGTACATGTATTTCAAATTATTACCCTCCATGAAATGGTGGGTACTGTTTTCAGTCTGGATGACGTTTTGGTCTATATCACAAGATCTGTCAGACAGAATGCGATTATACGTGTATCTGGTATGTGGGTAGGTAGGTGGGGTAAAGTGGATTGTCTACAATCACGTAGGTCGACTTTGGGACCCTGGTGATTGATCTTGGCGCTGCAGTAGGAATTTTTCAAAATATCTTTGGTGCTGGATGGTCTGTGGATGTGATGTTAAGGTAGCATAAATTATGGTTGTTGACATTATGGGATCAGTAGAAATTTGGCTGTATGCCCTGCCTGTTTGCTGTGGACCTGCAAGGTTGTTACTCCATTAAGGAGGTCAGGACCTCCGGACGGAGTGTTGTGATCGGCTGATTTTTCATGTTCGCAGTCAAAACACTGGGTTCTCTTTGTGTAATCGGCACGCAATTTTATACGCCGTCTGCGGGCATGCCCGTGTTGATGCACGAATGTGTATTTTTGCCGTTGCTGCTTTCGCGGTCAATGTAATATTGCAGACGCACCCCTACAATTACGAGGCGAATTGGAATGGTCCAGAAAAACGTGTTGTTTGGAATAGCAGTGGGGGGGGGTGGAACTTCATGCAGATACGGGGTGGTTTTGATAAGTGGTTCCAGATGTTTTTGCCCATGCTTAAGAGATGCCAAGTTTTTTGGAAGATGTTCGCAGCCAAAACGCATTCTTCCGTACGTCGCATTTCTGTGTAATTTCGCATGTGGTGTGGCATTATGTCCGGGATGATGCACGTCTTTTTATTTTTACCGTAGCTGTTTTGATATTGAAGTAAATGCATATTTTAGAAACATCCCTACTTTTACAATCCTGTGGAATAGGCCGTAGGTTTAGGCAGTTGTCTGGTAGCAGAGGTACTCTAAGAAGATATCCTGGTTATCTGGCCGGCGGTAGTAACACTCGCGGTGCTTACCGCAACTGTTGCTGGAATTTGGCCTGTTCCAGGCGCGCTTAATTAGGTACAGGGCGAGGCACGGTAAGACGGTGGGGCTGTCTTTGTTAATACTAGACACGACCATGATAGTCCGATCTTTATGTGAATGCAATGATTGTGTGTGTGTAATTAAAATGAACTTCGAACTTGAAGCACAGTATCTTTACACGCCCTGGGAGCAGTAATGGATTTAGCTCTTTGTATGTTTTATGCTTGTGACGCGCCCTCATTGTATTAACCGTTGCCTAATTATAATGTCTGCACAGTAGGTCTGGCGTTGACGCTTGGGATTTTGTTGAAATATATAAAACTTCACGGAGGATTGTCGCCTATGGCTTCTTGTTTATATTACGATTGTTTTTCTGGCAAATGATCTCAACAACCCCTGAATTCATTGCAATTATCTTTGGTATGTGCATTAGCAGGTTACTGTAGATCTGTGTTTTTTTAAAAAGAATTTACACTTTACAGACCTTCTTAGAATAGTGGTGTAGTCTGTGTGGGTCAGCTAAAGTCTATTTCTATCTCCTGACCAGTGTTCCAAGTGTGCCAGAATAAATCTATAAATGTAGCTCTAAAAGTAAACCATAGCAGTAATAAGAGCTAGATACATGGTGTGCATGGCAGATGTATGGGAAGTGACAGACATACATGTAAGTGTTAGAGCTGTTAATAATCTCACCATTTATGCAAAGAACGTCCTTGATAACACAAGTTCTCTTAGTGTCACTGATGAAAGGTAGTAGATTCTACCTGAACTATCTACCTGAACCATTTCCAAAATCATAATCCAGTTGCTTGATGTGAGTATCTGTATTTAGCATATCTTATTACCTAGATGTAACATCCTTGATAGTCTTTTCATGTTATTAAGTTATAACCTTATTTGGGTTAAAACCTTACAATTGTAGGGAACCTTCACAGTGGCTGGGAGAGGATGGGCGATAAAACAAACACATCATATCCCTAATAATACATCATAACACAAAATACACCTAAACATAACAAAAGCACAAAATATTTCATGGGTGTCTATAACTTCTAATATATGGACCCTGGTGATATTATGGACACAGATGTTATACCCACATAGGCTGGGCACATAAAGCGAAAGACACCTTACAAAAGCTTCATTCCCGCAGGATTATTTGCCCCAGACTTGATTAATCAATCAATATGAGTACGGTATGAGTACAGTATTAGGTTACATAACCTGTGGAAAGCTGCTCTGGTCATTCAGCAAGGAGAAGATTCCATGTGGCTTGGCAGAAATCAGGTCCAAGCAAAGCTGGTTGTCAGGACAGGTCATGTGCTTCCAGCCTATTGACTCTTTTTCATACTCCATCTAAAACATTAAACAAAACAGTCATTCTTACAGACCTTCAATTCTTAAATCCCAGCTACTATAATTCGACCAACAGATCTCTTCTAAAATGTTTCATTTGTTTCATTCACAATGTTATCACTGTTGTGCACAGAACTAACATAACCATTTCCTGTAAATTGAACATTTACCTGCTCTAACTTGAATATATGTCTGTTGAAGTGGTCGTGAAGTTTTTCATTGGCAAAGTTGATACAAAGTTGTTCAAAGCTGTTGACATCAAAGTCCTGGAGGGCAATAAAACATTGGCTGCAAAGCTATACATACATGTACATAT